TTGTTTTTATATGCCTCTGTCATATAGCTTTAGAATCCTGATATCCTCACCAATATTTGAAGAGTCAACAAAAAAGCAAGGGGTGAGGGGCAAACAAAGGGAACTGCTGATCCATAAAGCATCATCAAGGGTCTGCTGAATCAAGGGAGAGGGATCCAGCACTCCGGAGTACTCAGGGGAGAGATTTATCTTGGCTGAACAAGTTAGCCAGGGGGGGAAAACAAAACAAAACAAAAAAGTTCTGTTAGAGTAGTATAAAACAGGTTTGGGTTTAATGTATCAGGCACCTTTTTGTTTTGTGGAGACACTCGGGATTATAACCAAAAGAGGCAGGTGTGTGTGTGTGTGTGTGTGTGTGTACACATACATACATACATACATACACATATGTATATTTCAAAAGGTAATTCGTGTGAGATCTCACACGAATTACATTCTGAATTAACAAGCATTAGCTATAACAGTATTTAACCACCAAGAACATGTCAGATATTCCTGTAAAGACTAAAGCAGTATGGTAAAAGTTACAGGAAAACCCCATTAATTTAAACTAATGGGGGCCGGAAGAAGTCCATCAGATTTAGAAAAAAATGAATTCAATCAGTCAGTCATTCAACAAGCATTAAGCCCCTACTAGGTGCCAGGTGCAGGAGACATAATTCCTGCTCTCAAAAACCTGACATCCTACCCAGAGATATACCATTATATGCCTAAGAAGATACAAAATCGAAACAAGGTAGTTTTCTGGGAAAGGGAAAAGCAGCTGGGCTGGGCTATAAGCAAAAAAGGTCCAGTGTAGGAGATGGTATGCAGCTGAGCTTTGCAGCAAACTAGGGTGTCTAAGAGGTACCTCTCAGGCACAGGGAACTGTCTGTCCAAGGCATGGATTGGGTAGAGCTGTCCTGTGTAGGGAAGGGCAGGGCCAGTTTAGGAAGGCCAGGAGTTCCCAGCCTTTTTCAGTTCACATACCCCATGGCTTTTAGTAAACCTTCCCATAACCCCAATTCAAGGTGAAGGGAAAGAAATTCTAAAGTTTACATATGCGTTATACCATGTATATGTGCATAAGAGATTGATTTTTCACAAGGAAAACTATTTGCAACATAACATGGAGCATCAGTTGTTGTGTTAGAACACAAAGTAGTGAAAAATCCTCTCTTGCCAACAGATAGTTTTCTTTTCAATAGTTTTTGAAAGAGATACCCTCATATCATGTTTCACTTCCAGGCTGAGAATCCTGATTCACAAAGATAAGTTGTTTTAAAGCAAATGAAACTGTGAGCATGTTCAGTCAGACTGGGACATGCTTCGACAGCAAAAAGGTTGTAACTTCATGGATTGGAAATCAGTTCAGTTACAGCTTATTGTGGAGCTCAGCTCATCTTTCCCTGGCCTGTTGCTGAGTTTCTCTCGTACACCAAGGGTTTTGTATCTAAACCTTGCTTATTTAGTTTGGGCAAGTAGGAATTATTCCAACTGACTCAAAATTTTCAGACGTTCTTTCTCCCATTTCTACCCACATCCCTTTCACTGTACTCTCTCCAGTCCACGTTTTCTTTTCTTTTTTTCGGCTAGGCAGTGGGGTTAAGTGACTTGCTCAGGGTGACACGGCTAGTAAGTGTTCCAGGTCTGAGGCCACATTTGAACTCAGGTCCTCCTGAATCCAGGGCCAGTGCTCTATCCACTGTGTCACCTAGCTGCCCGACATTTTTTCACTAATACCACTATCCCTGGAGTATTTCAGTAGTTTAATATCAGAGGTTCCCAAACTTATTTGGCCTACTGTTCCCTTTAAAAAGAATTACTCATCGCCCCCCTGGAAATCTACTTTCTTTAATCCTTTAACGGTTTTTTAAAAAATTTGCATCATTTCAATATATATATAATCTATATATTTTAAAATGACACATCTTAAACTTAATAACTTATTATAAATTTGTGGGGTTTTTTTCCTGCACTGAAATTTTGATGATGCCATATTGCATCACGTAACCATGCAGTATCACATTGTAAACAAGTCATCATGTGAACATACTCCTGCCGATGCATGCTGGACTTCCCGACAGTGAGATACGCTCACCTGCCAACACATGCTTGATGAAACCTATTGGTGGGCTTGATCGCTGATCCTTTATAACTTGCATTTTGTGTGTTTATTTGGAAAATAATATAATCATTCTGACTTTAACTCTGTTACACAACAGATGAAACGTACAAATGGTTTTTCAAAATGTTCTCCTCTTCTTTCCTTATGATTCCACTACCCCTTTATTTTTATTCAACCCTCCCAATTGCACCGGTTACTCCCCCCCCACCTGATCGTTCCAGCACCCCCCAGAGGGTGGCATTGCCCATTGTGGGAATTTATGTTTAATATATTTACCAAATATTTCATCTGTCCCCTTGACAAGCTCCTCATAGCCCCTGTGGTATGTGTAACCCAGACTGGAAACTCCCGAGTTAGACCATAGATTATGTAATGATGGTAATGTACTATAACTGGAAAAGTAGGTTGGAACCAGGCTGTGAACTTTTTCACTCCTTAACTTCCTTCACTCAATTGGAGGGCCTATCCTGACACCCCAACCCTTCCCTAATGTCCCAGTAGCTAGTGGCCTATTCCTGGAAATGAATGAGACCATTTTGTTTTTATCTACATATAGGTGCTTAGTAAATGCTCATTTAATGTTTTGTTTTCCTAGTCTATATCCAGTACTGCTTTTCATCATTACTGCATAAATTTTGTAATCTGATAGGGATGGTGGTTTTTTTTTTTTTTGGCTAGCTCTTTTTGAAATTCTTGCTCATTTTCTTTTCCTCATTAATTTTGTTGTTGTTTTATTTAATTCCATGAAGAGGCCTATTGGCATGTTGCTTGGTATTGCATCAATCTATGACTTAATAGATTTCACAAAATTGGAAGCAACAATCTGAGGCCCAGCTGGTACACAACCATTTAGAATCCCTTCTACCATATAGATTATCAGTGAGGAGCCATCCAATCTATACTTGTAACTTTCTTGTTATAAAGGGACCTACTCTATTGTATCTTGAGGCAGGTCACTTTGGGGTCCCTGTACTTGTTGGGAAGTTTTTTCTTACATTAAGCCAAAATCTCTTGTCCTTGAATAGCTTATTTAGTTCTGCTGGAGAGCTGATTCTTGGTTTGCAGTCCTTGGGTTTTTTATTTTATATACAGTGTATCTCAAATTTCCCTTGCTATTCCTAGAAAAACGACATTACATATTGAGTGATGTCCCTTGCCATGTCACACTTGTCTTCTTGTAGCATGATCCGCTTCCTTCCCCACCATCATTATTTTGCTTAAGTTTAGTCACGTATTTGGGAGACAAATTTTAAGCTATTCTTTGATGTTTCATACATATAATTTTAATAATTATGCAATTTTTCTTAACTGGTAGTTTTGGAATATGGTGTTCATGTTTTGAGGGTTTTTTGTCTCTATGACAGTAGTTCTGAGATTGTCTTAATCTGTTACTTTACAGCCACATAATTTCCATATTTTAAAGTTATTTTATGAGCTTGTGCTTTCATGTCCTCTACCTTATCTGTGATTTGGTTTTCAACTTTAGGGCCTGTGCTCTTTATTCCTTCCATAGATCCTCTAGTTTTCCTTGGAGGATGAGGTAGGACATTATTTCTCTCTTGATCTTTTTGTAGATATGTTTACATTCTAGTTTTACTTTCTGACTTTATTCAAACTTGATTCAGGCTTCAGTTCTTTCTAGGATTTTTCTTTTAACTGAGGCAAGCTCTTCTGTTGACATTCTCGCCAGGATTCATTTTTCCTTAAATTCTTCAGGTCACTTATTTATCCACTTGAGGACTTCTCCAGATATGTTATAGTTTCTTTTTCCGTCCATATTTCTTCTGGTGTTCTTGTTTCATAAGTTAGTCACTCAAAAAACTGTGTGAAACTGTTCTCCAGTTTTCTCATTCTCTAATAAAGTTTGTTCAATTGAATTTTGGGGAGTGACTTTCACTTTCTTAAATGGCTTTTTAACAGTTTGGCTTTTCTTAGTGTCAATGAGGGAAATGTAAAGTGTCCCAGGCCTATTATAAGCTCACTCCACAAATTTCAAGAAGACTTTATATTATTTACTCCTACTGTCCTTATAAAATTGTCACATATGTATATGGATACGTACATATATCTACGTACATTTCAAAAAAGAAATGCTAAGCTTTGTCAAACAAATTTTCTCCCATGTTATTAAAAAAGTGCTTGTGATCACATATGTAATGCTAAGATTTTATTATACACAAAGCATGAACTAGTTTCCTTTTCTGTACAGAACTGAAAAAGCAAAATCAACAAAAAAAAAATTTTTTTTTCAAATTGAATCTCCCATAACCAAGGATTTGGACCTTATTTTCTTTTTTTGCTTATTTTAGAAGAAAAAATATTAAGAAAAATATCTCATTAGCTTATTGTTTAGGGAAGAGTGTCACATAAGGTCACAGACTATTAAAGCTACATTTAAAATAATGTATGGTCATTCTTGTAGTTTGTTTATAGTTATCAGTTTGGAGGTTCTAGCTTCCTACATTTACATGTTAAAATCTTGACTAGCAATGCCTTTTCCTATTTAAAAAAAAAGTGAAATTTACAAATGGAGTTGTAAAAAGTAATGAAATATTTCATTCAGTATTTTCATTAAATGAAGAAAAGTATTTTCTCTTAAAAATGAAAAAAGAAACACCTAAAAGGAAGTGACTACTTCCCATGAAGGGTAGGTCAGAGAGGAAAAGTAATTGTTGTAAGTTTATCCTCTTCATGGCTACCAAGGGAAGTTTCTTCCAAAAGATGCAATCAGGCCTTTTGCATTTTTATACCAAGACCCGTGTCATCTCAAAAACAGAAATAATTCTTTTTCCATGGTTTGTACTAGAGGACAAGTCCAGCCTTTAACACATCATTAAATAGAACAAATCCAGTATCTTATTATTTCTTTACAAAAAGTACTTTTGTCCCACAGATAGGAGTCCACCAGCTTTATTCTCAGGAAAACGCTGGTCATGAAGAAACTCTAATGGGACACAGATGAAGCCAATCAAGAGAAGAAACCGACTAAGGTCTGGAATGTTTGGTATACTGAATTGGTCTAGAATTATGAAACCTAAACCAGCCATTGTAAACAGGAAGCTGGATCCAAGCCCTTCCATCATTTATTGTCCATTCTATATATTTTCCATATCTATATGTCAAGAAAGCTACTTGTCTCTGGTGTCCATGCTCATCTGTCCAAGATCTAATACTGGGAGGGTCTACAATGACCTAGATTGTAAGACGTCACCACCAGGGCATGCATTAGCATGGACAAAGGCATGTGAGCCCATGTGAGCATGAAGCTTCTCTAGCTTCAGGTCAGGAATCTCAGGTGCTGCATATTGGTCACATATTTATGTAGGCAGCTTTGGATGGATGCCTTTGGAAAGCCACCATGCATTTACCATTGCTGCTTCCTCAACCCACCTGGATTTTTATTTTCTTCCACATTCCTCTTCTTCCACTTTCTGCCTAGCTTTTCTGCCACTTGTGGATCTTTTTCCTAATGTCTTGGGATGTGGAGGAAGGAGAAGCTCTGGGGACATGGTGAGTCAAGAAAATACTTATGGGTCAATGTGACAAAAGCTCAACTAACTGGCATTTAGTGGTAAATCAGCAGGATGGATTTGTAGCAGACAAGACAGGCTTCTTAGCTGCCTGGCATCATCTCATTTGATATGGAAAATAGTCCAGTAAAGTTCTAACCTCAGTTGGACCTTGGTATTTTAAGTAATCCAAATGCATGGAAATATATTTCTAATTGCCCCTTGGGCTTAATTGACCTGTTTCCATGAATGAATTTAATGATAAAGACTGATTATTTTCCAAGTGTTTTAATTTCTGCATTCACTTCAGATTGGCTTATATAAAAATTTAAATTACTGAGTTACTTATAAAAAATGCATCAGACACATAATAAAATTGAGTATTTATTTGAATTTCTCTTGGTAACAGTATTCAACATCTTAGCAAAACAAACCAAGTTGTGAAGTCTTTAAAAAAAAAATCTATCCATTACAAAAAAAATTAAAATAAGCTGTTTTCTGTATTTCATGGCAAAAAGTGGGACATTGTCTATTTAAAAAAAACTGCCATACACAGAGTAATGTTTTAAGAAATATATATTGTGATTCACATGATATGTTTTGTAGAATGTATACACAATATCTGAATGCCAATCTGAATGGAAGAGAAAAAATGTGTGATAAAACACCACACAGCAAACTGAATGTTCTTAAAATATGGTTTGAAGGGGGAGCTTCCTAGTGAATTAACTTAAAAGATCACCCATGGGATTAAAAACAAAATGAAATAAAACAGCAACAGGTAGGATTGAATACAGAAGACATTCCATGACATGAAGACCTTCTATGAATGACACTCTCATTAGCACCCCCTCAAATCTGGTTGGTTCCACAGTAAAATTAACTTAGAAAAGTGCATCTTTTAAAGACTTGTCTAGTGAAATAGCATTTTCAAATATAAAACACTTAACACAAGACGTGCAATAACAAAAGTTAAATCATTATAGTGTAAATTTTTAAAAACTACTTTTAAAACTTTTGATTCACTAAAGAATAAAGATGTTAATGACAGCAGTGTTCACATTACTCTGCAACAGTATGCTTTGTGTGCTTTTTGTTACTTGGCAAATCTTTTTTTTTTGTGGAGTCGAACAAAATTAATTCAGTCTAAGCAATACTTCTTCTGTCATTAGTAATCCATTTCCTCTGGCAGTGCCACCATAGTTAGATTTTTGGAAGTTTTGGTGCACTAACAACAGGATTTGCCTCCTGTAAATATCTCCTTCCTGCACTCTTGTAATCATAAGTGCAGCCGTGTGTTTCTGCATATCGATGAGTTGCACAGAAATTGTTTCCACATCTAAAGCACAAAGAAAGTGTGTATGAATAGTCACATTTCTATGACAGGCACATGAAAGCAGAGCTAGAGCTCCTAGTGAGCCAAATGGAACCTCTGGTTTTCTGGAGCCATTTTGGAGCTGCCATTTTCTTCCCACTTAGGAAAACTATAACCACAAAATAACCCTCAACCCCTTCCCCCATTATGTTAGCTCAGGAATATGACATTTTATAATAAAACATTTTTCAGGTGGTAGAATGGGGCCCTAGTCTTATAAAAATCTTAAAAACACATCATATTAAAACAATGTTCAAAAATTCTCCTGTAGCTTGTAAACTTAGAAGAAGGGTAAGTATCTTGGGAATTTGGTTGTGGGGTAAAAATCAAATAATTTAAAATCTACCTAACACTGACATTTGAAATTTAAAATTTCTATGAGAGATCTTTTCAAACATGGCTCAGCATAAATGAAAAGACTGCTAAAAGTAATGGCAAAAATAATGCTGACGGGATGGTTAGGTGGTGCAGTGGATAGAGCACCGGCCCTGGAGTCAGGAGGACCTGAGTTCAAATCAGGCCTCAGACCAAACACTTGACACTCACTAGCTGCGTGACCCTCGGCAAGTCACTTAACCCCAATTGTCGAAGAAGAAGGAGGAGGAGGAGGAGGAGTAGTAATGCTGAAGCCAGAAAACAGATCTTAAAAAACATCTCCCCACCTTGGCAGGGGGAAGAGGGAAACTCTGAACTCAGTACTTGCATACCCTGTCCGGGGGAGCCACAGTATGGGACCCTTTTGCTTAATTGGTTCTTTGTTATAATGGAAGGCTCAATCTGGAGAGAGAGTGGGAAGGAAGAAGCCCCTCTCCACCTCAGGATGTAAGTAAAGACAAAAGGCATCATCAATACAACTTTTTGAAAAAGATAATTTTATACATATATATATATATATATATATACATATATATATATATATATATATATATATAAAATCCTGTTAAGCAATTTCAGTTACATAGTGTGAGTGAGCCCCAGGAAGGCAGTTCTCATTGGACTAATTGGTACTCATATGGATTAAAAAATAATAATCATCATGAAAAGGAAAAAAAATCAGAATTCAATGCAAATACAGAATTAAAATGCACTTATCTTCCCACTCTTAACCCTTCATCTCTGATCTCTTCAATAGGAAGGTTCATTTTTTTAAAAAAAGAAATGTTGTCATACTAAGTTTCAAAAAGATAAAAATTTACATTGGGGAAAGTAGAATTGGAAAACAAAAAAAAAATTGTGAATATGCTTCCAAAGTTCATAAATGCAGTTTTCCTTATTTTCACAAACTGAATATCAACTCCACAAGTTCCTTCTCTAATAACAGCATATCTTCCCATACTGAGGTTTAGGCTAAAAATTAATCAACTACACTCTTCTGTTGATGCATCTAAAAGTTTCCAGGGCCCCAGCTGCTTTTCAAGGACTTACACATTCTCTCTGGCTATTATTTCAGGCCAGTCATGAAGGCAGAACACTGTTTGATTAAGGTCAATTAATTTAACATCACCTAACAATGGAAATGTAAATAATTAAGCTCAAGCTTTTAGGGGGTAGGGTTTGGGGGGTGGCATTGGGGCAGCAGAATCCTCAAGCTGGATCACTGTACACAAATATTTCAACTTTTCCAACTAGGCAACCTGCCTGCATTCATAGCTGGTGGCTAGTCCCGTTTTCTTGCCACAAAGAAAGCAATGCTTGGATGTTTTCTTTTTGGTCTGAACAGGGGCTTTCACAGGGGGAAGATGATGAGTTGTTTCACCTGTTTTGAGACAAGATATGTAGATTAGCTTAGGATGAAAACAAAATTACCTAAGATCCCATTCAGCACAAAATATTTCTTGAAAAATCACCTAACAGTTTCAAGGCATGGTAATCCATACCTTTAATACCTTAATATGAAAAATCATATTAATTGATATTCTTTAATTTAGCCTAAAATAATTTGAATGAACTTACACATGATTTTAGTATAGGACTCACTCTATGTTTTCAAAAAGATTCCATTAACTAAGCACTACATTTCTTTGATAAACCAACAACCTTTGCTCATTTCCAGTGATTTTCAGTCGATAGGAACCATCCAAAACAACAATTTAATTCTATTCAATTCACATTTTTAAAGCATCTATGTGGGAAGCACTGTGCTATACTTGGGAATACAAAGCTGAACAAATACCTGCCTTTAAGGAGTGGACAGCTGAGTGGGGAGACAGGACAAGTACATAATTCAGCAAAAGTATAACACCATTTAGGGTGTGATGGGGGCAGCCCTGAGTGTTGACACTGCAGTAGGAAAATCTGAAGAGAAGGAAGCCTTTTCAGGAGGCAGCCATGGATATGTGTCTGTTTTGTGTGACTGTTGAGAAACTGCATGAGAGAGAGCTTTACGGAAGAGATGGCCCTTGAACGAAACCTTAAAAGGTTAAGTCTGGTCAAGATTAGGGAACTGCTAACAGTCTAGGCAGGGCGGTAAAATAGACCTGAAATAAATCTTAGAAAGGATTGATGCTATTTTAGAAGGTAATTTCTAAAGAAGGTAACAACTGAAGGATTTTGAGCAGGGAAGCACATGGTCAGACCAGGCCTTAGGGAGATTTAGAATAAGACCAGGTAAGAAGTTGTTGTAAGAGCCTAGGCAAAGAAGGGTGAAGGAAGGAAACGCAGTTATCAAGGGCTTCCTAGGGGATAGGCAGTATGAGGACTGGAACAGAAGTATAGAGAGTCCCATGCCCTCCTCGTGGGGACAGACAACACAGAAGGACTGGTGAGTCTGAATGAGGGGGGTCTGAATGGAGAGGGAAGAAGGTATAGAAGATGGTATGGAAGACAGGGTGTGACCAGACTTAGCAGCTCATGAGTTACAGGAGTATGGGAGAAGAAAAAGTTGATCATGGAATCCTGTTGACAGGGGGATGGAGGAAAAATTCCATTTTAGATGTGTTAAGAGGGGCTGACAGGTCCTATAGTTAGAGATGACTGGCAGGCATTTGGAAAAAGAGTGGACTGGGGTCAATTTGGGCTGGATGTACAGATGTGGGAGTTATTGATGTAGAAATTGAATCCAGAAGAGTGTATGAGAATTCTAAAGGTGAAGGTATAGAAAAAGAAACAGGCTAGGACAATCTTAGGGGCCACTGACAATTTAGGTGGCTAGAGGATAATGACACAGTGAATGAGACAGAGAAGGAATGGTGAACACCTGCATGAGGAAATCCAGGAGAGCAGCATCACAGGAGCCAAGGAAGGAGAGAGCCTCCAGGAAGAGGAAATGGCTAATAGTGGCAAACAAAGGAGGGTGAGACCTGAGAAAAAGATCAGTGAACTGAAATAATTTTATATTTCAATATAGACTGAAGGACAACTGCATATACTAAAAATCCTGTATAAAGCAAAATATTAAAAACTATGCCTTAAAAGAAGCTGCTACTGACTCCTGGTCCTTTCCATGCTTTCTCCCACTAATGTTTTATAGGCATCTGTCTTTGGGTGTCCTTGGATCTGATGGCAAAGCCTAACAATGGAGCTTTCCCCTGGATGACCAAAGACCTCTTTACAGAACTGCCTTCCTAGCCTCACTGCATAACTTAATCTGGGTGAAGCTGACAAATCTAGTCTCAACCTTCCTTGACTTCAGATGCACATCTCAAAGATGGAGATATCAGCTCTGCCTTTCTTATAGGATTACTGTGAAGACTGACAGTATATAGGAAAGAACACGAAATGATAAATAATCATCATACACATATAAAGGAGTCAAAATCATTCTGCCTCAGCATTTTATGAATTATATATGCTCAGAATACCAAATAACATCTTTCCAGAAAAGAAGGCTTAGTCATCAGAAGCAGCTGAAGAGGATTCATTTCAGCACCACAAATTCTTTTCCTAGTCTTTGGAGTTGCATCTTAGTGTTTCCCAAAACTTTTTATTCCACAAATTAAAAAGTGATTTTGCCAAAAGACATAGAATACGGTAGAAGTAAGGATGAGATAGATGGTAGTGCTTCCCCACCTAGTTGGCCATCCATCTACCACTCATTTATTCAACAAATATTTACTGGGTGCCTACTCTGTGGCTAACACTTCTCCAGCATGTTTACTTCTATTTCCACCCTTCCACATTCCTGGTCAAGGTGAAGTTAATGACTCCAGGTCATTATAACACACCCTGAACCTCTTTGGGCAGGTGACTGTCCCAAAATACCATAGCATTCTAATGCAAGGGCTGGGAAAATGCAGCCAAACAAGTGCATCTTGAACACCTACAATGAGCTCAGAGCTCTGCTGGAGACCCTAAGTGATAAAAGTACTAGTACTAGTACAAGTGGTCCTTGCAATCTAGGCAAGGGTATAAAAGATACATCTTAGGAAAAATAAGACCCCAAACAGAAGTAGATAAAAAAGGAATATGTATTTTTATTTTATTATTTTAAAAAAAATTTTATTAATTTATTTTGATTTATCAACAATCACTTCCATGTGCTTTTGAGTTTAATATTTTTCTCCCCTTTCCTCCCTACCACCCTCCCCAAGACAGTGCACAATCTGATATAGGCTGTACATTTACATTCCTATTAAACATATTTTCACATTAATGAAGTTGTAAGTAAAAATTAACACTAGTGTTTTGCTTTTGACCACTGCCTCCTTCAGTCCCTCCTCCCTTCTATTATCCCTTTCCCTTTTCTTCCTTTGCCCTCACTGCTTCTTCCCTCCCTTCTATTCCCCCTCCCTTTTCTTTCCCCCTTTCCCTCCTACTGCCTATATGGCAAGTTAGATTTCTATACCTAACTGATTAGGTTATTCCCTTCTTGAGCCAAATCTGATGAGAGCAAGATTCAAACAATGCTCACCCCTCTCCTTTCTCTCCCTCTGCTGGAATAGGATTTTGTGTCTTTTCCTGTAATGTAATGTACTCTTGTCTGCCTCCTCCTTTTTCAGTACATTTTCTAAGATCAGATTAATCCACTTATTTGGATCCATTTAACCCACTTGATTAGATTTTTTTTTTATCATTACATCAAAGTCAATAACATCCACCCTCTTTATGTATACTCCTTTAACATGGTGTAATAAAAATACAGTTCTCAAGAGTTGCAAGTGTCATCTTCCCTTGTAGGGATGGGGATGTAAACAGTCCACCCTTATTAACAACATATTGTATCTTTCTGTCCCATTTACCTTTTTATGTCTCTCTTGAATCTGTACTTCAAGATCAAATTTTTTGTTGCGCTCTGGTCTTTTTATCAGGAAGGTTTGGAAGTCCCCTATGTCGTTGAATATCCATCTCCTCCCTTGAAAAATGATGCTCATTTTTGCTGGGTAGTTGATCCTTGGCTGCAATCCAAGCTCATTTACCTTATGGAATATCATGTTCCACACCCTGCGGTCCTTTAATGTAGAAGCTGCAAGGTACTGTGTAATCCTTACTGTGGTTCCATGATATTTAAATTGTTTCTTTCTGGCTGCTTGCAGCACCTTCTCTTTCATCTTGTAATTTTGGAGTTTTGCTATTATATTCGTTGGTGTTTTCAATTTGGGATCTCTTTCAGGTGGTGAGCGGTGTATTCATTTTTTAAAAAATTTTTATTTTTTTTTCGGTGTATTCTTTCTATGGCTATTTTACCTTCTGGTTTTAGGACTTCAGGGCAGTTTTCCTTTATGATTTCCTGAAAGATACTGTCCAGGCTCTTTTTTTTCATCATGATTTTCAGGTAGTCCAATAATTTTTAAATTGTCTCTCCTGAATCGATTTTCCAGGTCGGTTGTTTTACTGATGAGGTATTTTATGTTGTCATCTATTTTTTCATTCTTTTGTTTCTGTTTGACTGATTCTTGCTCTCTCATAGAGTCATTAGTTTCCATTTGTCCAATTCTAGTTTTTAACAGATTGTTTTCTTCTGTTAGTTTTTGTACTTCCTTCTTCAATTGGCCAATTGTGTTTTTTAGGGACTTGTTTTCTTCAGTGTACTTTTTTTTCCAATTGGCCAATTGTATTTTTTAAGGACTCTTCTACCTCTCTCATTAGACTTTTAAAATCCTTCTTGAGCTTTTCTAAGAAGGCTTTTTGGGCTTCAGACCAGTTCATATTCCCTTTTGATGTTGCAGATGTGGGTTTGTTGACAATGTTGTCCTCTTCAGAATTTCTGTCTTGATCTTCACTCTTCTCATAATATGAATCTGTGGTACGTTTCTTTTTTACTCATGGTGTTTCTTTATTCCCTGTCCTTTAAAGTGATTGAGCTCTCTTGCTGGGGAACAGAGGGCACTGACCCAAGCTTCTTGTGTTGGGAGCCTAGGTCTTGGTCACTGGCTTTGTGTACTACAGCCTCTTATGTTGGCAACTGGAGGCTGTAGGGTTCTGTTAGTTTACCTCGAGTTGGGCTGCAATCAGCAAGTCTGCCTGTTTTTCCTTTCCTTTAGCTTTCTTCAGCTCCTTTTAGATGGGTGCTGCAGGGTGTTTATTTGCCTGGGGCCCCTTGCAGTACTGCCTCCCTTGTTTCTGCTAATGCACTGGGAGTTTCCTTTGCAGTAGAGTTCGGAGGCACCTGGTGGTTTTCTGGTTTCCACCGGTTTCCCGTGCCGTGGTGCTGCCCGCCCCCCCCCCAACACACACACACTGAGGCACTCGGAGGTCCAGGTGTTGGTGTTTGCCTGCTCTACCACCTGGCCTTCAGGATCTCCTCCTGGTTGACAGTTGGAGGCTGTAGGGTTCTGACAGCTTACCTGGTGGTGGGTTGGAATCAGCAAGGCTGAGACTTTAGGAAGACTTTAGGGTGCTTTCTTCAGCTCCTTTCAGATGAATGCTGCAGGGTGTTTATCTGCCTGGGGCGCTTTGTAGTGCTGCTTCCCTTATTTTGCTGAGGCACTGGGAGACCTGTTTGCTGGGCTGCTGCACTGCTGCTCCCTGTCTTTCTTCTAGTTCAGTTGTTCCAGGGTTTTTTTCTGGGGTGATATTTTCTGGGTTTTCTGAGGTTGACAGAGCGACTACCTTTTTACTCCGCCATATTGGCTCCCAGAAGAGGAAGTTAGGAATATGTATTTTTAAAAGTTCTTTTTAGCATATTAATTATATGTGAACAAGTCTTTTAAATACAATTGAATCTTATCTATTCATTATGCTGATTTAACAAAACCTATACTTGACAAAACTAGGTTTGTGACTCTTTGGAGTTTTAATATACACTAAATAACTTTATTTCTTCTCAAATATTCTTTTGCTTGGTCTTCTTTCCAAATTAGTCCAAATTAATGTGGTTTTACCATTCCATCTGCTTTTACAATTCTAGGCTTGTGGTTTATCATGATACAGTAGGCAAAGTCTTAAATGACTAGACATTCATAACATTTAAACTCCTGCTTACAACCACTGATTAGAGTCAGTCAGTGACAAATTTATTAACATCTACCTGTCCTCAATTTTGAATAATTCCCCTCCTGCTTCCTTCCCAACATTATTTACTCTTGAGGGTTGCTGAAGTTGGCAGGATCTATGCCAGAAGCTTAGGAAGAACAGTAAGTGGCACAAATGGCCTGTTTTGTTTTAGTTTTCAGTCAAAGGCAGAGAGTGCCTGTCACTGAAATTTAAGTCACTTGCAGTCTCCTATGAGGCCACAAGATGGAGTTTATTTCCAATTAACATGGAAATATTAACATGGCCAGGTTTTGTCGAATTCAACACATCTTCATGTTGGAAAGGTCTTCAGGAAGGTCATTTTGTCTAGCCTCTTAGTTCAGAGTCTCAAGAGTTAGAAAGGACATTAGAGATTATTCAGTCTCATCCCTACCTGAGGCATTTTCTCTTCTACAACATCCCTTTCAGGATAAAGCAAGTATCTCACGAATGATATTCTGTACTCTAACATCCTGGTCCACAAACGGGATCAAGTGAAGTAACTTTTAAGTATCAGGAAGGTAATAAAAAATGTTAGAATTTTGCTCCCTTGAGGCAAAATGTACAATTTTTATAGAGAAAATAGCTTTGATTGGTTGGTTCTGAATTCACTGAAGGTAGAAAAAGATGAAAGAACCAGATAGAGAAACTTTCCTTTGTTCAGTTATGCAGTGGGTAACCTATGTGATACCCGTGAATATACTAGAGACTTCTTTTATGGGAAGCCTGCACACACACACACACACACACACACACACCCCACCGATCAACACATCCTCAGAAAGAGTGGGCAGGAGGTGGGGAGCTTCCCTTTATGAGAGATTAAACAAAGGCTAAATGATTGACAATGTGTCCAGTTATGATATAGAAGGAATTCTTTTTTAGGTATAGAAACTAATTTGGACCAGATAGTTTCTGAGGTCCATTCCAATTCTGAGATTTTGTGCTTTTTATAATTCTAGTTTAGAGTCTTGACTTACACCTGCTAAGACAGAAGTTGTAAAGTTGCTTAAGTACATCAGTTTCACCAGTACTGGAAAGCTATTTAGGAGGTAGATATAATTTAGCAGGAAGTTCTTGAAAAAAACCCAACACTTTTTATTACCTATTATCTAGACTCCAATTATACCTAAATTTGAAAAGCTAAGGCCATCCTGAAAACACACATGAACTAGGAAATTGCATTTGCTCATGAAGAACCTTTTGTCATTCCAATCAGCATGGGAGTGGCAATTAGAGGCATCTCTGGATCTTTCTGCAAAGGTACACTCACTGAGAATCCAATCCAAGATGCTCTAATTAGGCAGCATATCGATGTATCACTGCTCCATATGTCTTAAGTGATTATGAATTTGCAAAGCACTTCAATAGCTGCTGCCCCTTGTTAGCTATGATCCCATGCACTGCTATTTTCTTGAGCCTGCCTTTTTCACCAAGCATGAGCCTAACACCTTTGTTAAGGTCAGCATGATCTTCATTTTACTTTTCCCCTTTCCCCAGAGGATGCTGTGCAGGGGATAAACATCACTGCTCTCAGCTTGTCACTACAGAAATGTCTCACTCTTTCAAAAGCACTGGATTCAAAAATGCAGAGGGTCAGTTGTTCCCGTGACACAGAAGAAAGTTCCTATGCCTCCAAGAGATAAAATGCTAGGGTTTACATGGCTGCTTTTCTCCCTCCGAATCACAGAACTGCTCTTTCATTTTCTCATTCCTAGCTTCTCTGCTTTTTAACCATAATCTTTATCACTTTAGAGCAGCAACATGGGGCTAGAAATAGGGCACTGTACTCAGAGACCTGGGATCAAATCTCACCTCTGCTTACTAGCTGTGTGTGTCATTGAGGCAAGTCCTAGAAAGTCTCTAGATCTCAGTTTCCTCAGAAGGATCTGGACTAAATAATCTCCAATGTTCCTGTCAGTGGTAAAACTATGATCCCATAAACCAGAATCAGTAGTACTATTAATTCAACCCACTCCCACCCTTCTTTTGTGACTTCCCTAACACACAGGTGTGACCATGTCACTCGCCTACTCAAACTCCAGTAGCTCCCTAGTGCCTCCAGACTTAATGATAAGCCCCTCTGTTTAGTTTGAAAAGCCCTTTCCAACCTTAGCGTCCATTACACTGCTTTCTCATAGATGACCTTCCATCTCCCATCTCTGGACCTTTGCACTTGCTGTGTCCCCTGTCTGATATACACTCACTCCTTCACTTGAACCCTGCAGAATCCCTTGGTGACTTCAAAACTCTGCTCAAGGTGAAGCTTCTACACCAGGCCCTGGCCAATCTCAATAAAGGTACAATAGAGTGTACTTTGTATTGATGTTACATAGACTTCTTGAAGTACGTACATTGCTGTCCTTCTACCCTCCATGACTACCAGGTCCTGATACAATGTAGATGCTTATCAATTACCCACTGATTGGTTTTTTGAGCTTTTCATCCTTTATCTTTTCGATCTCTTGTCACTTCTCAGCTCTCCTGTGAAAAGACTGGCCTTCAAGAGTCACTGATGATTCAGAGAATGTTGGATGGAAGCTTTAGGCTGCTGGATCTTCTCAGCTGGATTCTAAGGGCTGGCTCAAGACTGCTTCTTTGTTGCCAAAGAGGTTTGGGGGGTGTTTTCCCTTCAGCTACTTCCAGGTTCTGAGTCCTTCTGGAAGTCTGAGGGGAAGGGGCTGCTATCCAGAGTCAAGCCTTGACCATAATATAGCAAACCAAAACAGAAAGGGAAACTGGGGCAAATTCTTTGTACAAAATGAATATTCAATGACACCAAATTATCTTGCTCTTTAAGTCTGTATTTTTAGATATACTCGTGATTAACGAGACAACTAATCTTGAGAAATCAACGAGACAACTAATAAAACAATATTCTCTGAAATCATCCTGTTATGAGAAAATCTGATTTAATCTACAGAAATCAAGTTTACACATTGCATTTCAGAGTACCTTCTATATTTCTGTGTATACACGCACACATTCATGTAAAGTATTTTTTGGCCTAGATATATAATTTCATTGGTTTAGAGACATCTCAGTGTGGAAACTCCCCCTACCATACAAATCAGCACCTTCTCTGCGAATGATAGCCTAAGAGAGCTGCCTGGGGCACTGAAAGGTGGACTGTCTTATTCTAGGCCTCTGTACCCAAAAGTGTCAGAGGCAGGGCCTGAATCCTCTTTACTGAGGATTACTCCCCTCTTGTTGCCTTTCTCGATACATATACACATACGACATGTGATACAGAAAATGGGGTGCCTTTATGTAAGGAAAGGAAAAGGCAAGTATCTATAAAAACTTACATAGGAATCCTTGATGGCTACGGATTTTTAGGACTTAGAATCGATTTATATTTTTACACATGAATATTTCCATTTTGGGGATAAATGCATAATCATTGTTTTTTTCTTTTGACTCCTTGCTCTCTTAGCACAGCACCTAGCACAGAGAGGGAAGGAGAGAAGGAAGATGGAAGGGTAGAAGAAAGGAGGGAGGAGGGAAGTGGGTGGTGGGAAGACAGAGGCAAGGAATAAGAGAAGGAAGGAAGAAGGAAAGGAAGCATTTATTAAGTGTCTACTACATGCCAGGCACTGTGCTAAGCACTTTAAAATCATCATCTCATTTGATCCTCACAACAACCCTAGAAGGCAGGTGCCAGTCTTATCCCCATTTTACAGTTGTGAAAACTGAGGAAGAGACAGTTTAAGTGCCTTGCCCAGGATCACACAGCTGTAAGTATCAGAGGCTGGTTTTGAACCAGGTCTTCCTGACTCCAAACTAAGAGAGTGGTATCAAACTCAAATAGAAAAGGGGGTGGGTGAAGGGGAGAATAAACCATACGTGAGGATCCCTATGGGCCACACACCGACTTAAAAAACGTTACACTAATATTATCTATTCTGTTCTAATTTTATTTATTTTGTTAAATATTTCCCAATTACACATTAATCTGATCCAGGTACACGCGGTCCCATCTGTGTTTGACATGCCTGGTTTAGGAGGTTCTCTTTTCACCAGAGGAAAGATGTTAAGAATGGAAAGAATTCTAATGAAGCTCTATCTCTGGCTCTGTCATTAGCTAGCTACATAACCTAGGGTTAAACACTTCTTATTCTCCAGGCCTGTTTCCTTATTTGTAAAATGACAAGGATAGGCCAGATGATATCTAAGGTTTCAGCTCTAATATTCTAGAATTTTATGAGTTGCATTCTCAGTTATAAGGCACAGACTAAGGAGAAGCAAGAACATATCTCAATTAAAGCTAACTAATAAGAGTATATCAAAACTCAACTTTAAGAAACACAGAATTTTTAATTATACAGTGTTCTAAAGTCTTAGTGCAGTTTTAAGCTAAAATAACTTCAGATGTATAAATATTACCAACTTACAAAAATTATTTAGAAGGTTTAAATTTTAAAAATATTGATCCTATTAAAATTCAACATAAGCACTATCTTGTGTTTTACAGCTTGCTCCAGTCAATTTTCAAATTTTGTAAAAAACTTTCAGCAGGTGCTGCTCCTCAGTGACTGAAAAGTTTACACTTACAATCTCAGCTTGAAAAAGGTCATCCACAGAAAACGGAGGTTTTAATGGGCAGTGGCATGTGGCCCCACAAGAACAAGTCTAATGGAGATAGATGAGGGGCCAAGCACAAGGACCTCTTACTCATCCACCAGTCTGAGAAAGTGTCATCCAGAAACCATTGGTTGTACAATGCATACAGATAGGATACCCTACCTATGTTGTTAAAAAATTCACAAAGCTAAAATAAGTGTAGAAGAAATGTAAATAACTGAGCTTTCTAATGACTTTTGGGTATGGATTGTAGCCTTTAAACCTCTGAAGTTATTAAAGTTTAAAACTACACTAAGACTTTGGGCACGCCTGTATTTGGTAATAATGCAAAAGCCACAAAATGCTTCTGCATTATGGACTGTCAGACCTGGAAGTGACTTTATAGAGGGTCCAGCTTCCTCATTTTACAAATACAGAAAAGAAGGTGAAGTGACTTGTCTTAGATCACAGAGCTGGTAAATCACAAAGCCAGGATTTCCAGTCAGGTTTGGACACCCCAATGTGGTACTCTTTTCACTAGGCCAAAACCAAAGAACTCTATACTTCAAAGAATAGGTTTCAAGTGGAGAAGCATCATTAATACAGGGTGTTGGTTTTAAGGTTAAAATGAAAGATGAAAAAAAGAATGTAAGAAGGGACTGGTTTCAAACTAAGACACAAGAATGAAGAGGTGGGCAAAAGGAGGACTAGACAAATGTGGAAGCAAAGCTGTATCTTTGCTGGAAACAAAACTCAAGATTTGGTAAAAATTATGACTAGACCTATGATTTGTTAGGTTACAGGGAAAGCCAGATGTGGAAACCCCCACTCCAACTGAGATGAGGATCTGCCCTACAAAGTATAGTCTTAGATTTGCTGGGGAGCATGGAGAGAAAGGTCGAGTGATTTAGCCTGGGGCACACACCCTGGGTTTCAGAGACAGGACTTTGCCCAGGCCTTCTCAGTTCTGAGGCCTGCTCATTATTTCCCATGCCGCCTCTCAACAGAAATGTACAAATGAACACAGTTTCGTTTCTGGTAGACAAATTTAGAATTTGCAGCCTATTAAGCAGATTAATAAAAATTACCATTTGACCTTACCCAAAAGACAAGAAATATCCAGAAAGAACAGCAGAAATAACATTAACCATGTGGCTAATATAGGTCATAAAAGATCTGAGAAATATAACAGATTCTAACATTAAATGTGAACGACATAAAACTCCACTAAACAGTTATAAATTGAATTAAAAACCCAATCTAACAATATACTGCTTACAAGAAAAAGCAAAACCCCACATAGAGACCAAAAAGAAAAGGATGGAGTCAAGATCTGTCAGGCAAATACAAGTATATGAGAAAGGACCAGGTTTCAATGACTGCCTGATGAGGTAAAATTTAAACCAAAAAACACTGAGGGTAAAAAAAGGGAAAGATAGCTAAGTACCAACTCTTCCTGCCTTCCTTCCCTCTAACCTTCACGACAACAGGAATCAGATGGGTTAACCAGAGAATTTTCCCCATGACTTAAAATATATAAAAATATGGTGTATGGTACAAATTCATTTTATGAGGCAAGTGTTCAATTTTAAAACTTGATGAAGACAACCAAAAACATTATAAACCTATTTCACTCATAAACAGAAATGGAAAATGTTAAATGTGAATTTTCCATACAGAATGTAGGAAATACATTAAAGGTATCACAACCAAGGAAGGTTTTTTTCCTCAGGACTACCAGATGGTATTGTATAAGAGAATAGGATTAATATAACATAGGAAAAAAGGAAAGAAAAAAATCATTTGATATTATAAGCTGCAGAAAAAATATCTAATGAAGTTAAAAATCCATCAATGATTAAAAATCCCTAAACAGTAGTAAGGTTGTCTTCTAACGTGACAAAAAGTATTTACCTGAAACCCAGAACAAACATTATTCCCAATGGGGGAACATTCCTATCATTTCCCTTAAAAACAGAATGAAGCAAGAATAGCCTACTAACATTTCTGTTCAACACAGTATTGGAAATATCACCAATTGCAATAATGTATGAAAAAGAAATAAGTAGTTATGTACCTAGGAAATCAACAAATTTTATTAAAAGTAATAAGTGAATTTAGCAAATTCAATTCACTTCAAGCCAATTTGACTGCAGGTTTTAAGATAAAAATGCACACAAAATATAATCACATCCTTGTATACCATCAATAATAATGGAAAAATAAAATGAAAAATAAATCCCTTTTTACAATAATAACCAATAAAACATGTTTCAGAGAAGTAGATTTCTCTAATATTCAATACAAAGTCAACTTAATAAAACATGCCACGAAGGAGGACACAGTCTACAAAATAATTATGAAGCAAAGGAAAATTTAATGTCACTCAAGAAACATGTATTAAGTATTTATTCTGTTCAAGGCACTATGATAAATGCTGGGCATAAGAAAACAAAAAATGACAAGAGTCCTAGTTCTTTCTGAGCTTAACATAGTAAGGGAGCAATTTGTACCTATGGTCCCCAAATGATGAAACTGAGCCCCAAAAACACCAGTACTAAGTCTGTACCTCAAAGAAATCAAAAAAAGAAGAAAAGGACCTACACATACACAATATTTATAGCGATTCTTTTCATAATAGCCAACTGGAAACTAAGGGAGTGTTCTCCTACTGGAAATTGGCTAAACAAATTATAGTATGGAAATGTAATGTGGAAAGAAATCAAGAAATGGACAAGATTTCTGAAGAAACTGGGAAAACATCTATGAAGTGATTATAATGAGCAGACTAGGAAAAAATTACAACATTATAGACAAAAACAACTTTGAAAGACCTAAGAACTTTGAGCAATACAATGATAAATCATGAATCCAGAAGACTGAAAATGAAACATGACACTCACCTGCTGCCAGAGGGGTGATAAAATTAGAATGAGATAGATGCATTTTCAAGCATGACCAATGTGGGAATTAATATATGATGAATGTTTATTTGAATAGGCGTGTATATGTGTGTGTTTTCTCAACTAGAGGGGCAATGCAATGGAAAGTACATAATATAAATACATTCAAAAATTAATGAATAAATTTATTTTTTAAAAAGAAATCTCTGTTCAATCAGTCAATATGCTTTTAACACCAACGCTGTATATTTGGCACATAGGCATTGTGCCAAGTGCTAGGGATACAAATACAAAGCAAAAACAAGTCATTACCCACAAGGAAATCAGAATATATAAGATTAATACAGGGAGAAGGTAACTTCAGAGGAGATGGCATCAGTAGCTCAAGGGACCAGGAGTGGAGCTTAAGCTGAGTCTTAAAAGA